CTCAGAGCTTGTTGCGAATGGAAATGCTTCGCGGCATCCTCCTCGCTCGATCTATTTCAGTATCTTGTTTTCATCGTAATCAAGAATTTCGGACCGCCGAAATTCTACCCAGTTTCATCTAGTTCGACACGGGATGTTAAGTTCTAACGACTACTTTGAAGTTACTCATACATTTCATGAGTTCGTTGGCCTTGATCTTGAACGACATGGACGCGAACAAATTGGTCGAGGCTGCGTTTCTAATTTACAGTCAATACACAACTATGGCCATATAATATTAGACTCAAATAGAATGGTCCTACCGCTGGCGGAAAAACAATTACTACTGACCAATCACACGCCTGGATTTGGCTAGCCAATCTTTATTGGTCAAAATTGTTGTTATATCCACGAAATTCGACAGGCGTGTTTTCGGAGAGAAAAATGAATTTCAATTTAACTGGATTCGACACCGTCCGCGGCTTCATGCGTAAATTCCGCTTCCATGGCCTCCAAGGCCCGTTGAGCCTCCATGACAGTCGAAGGGAGAGCCCTATAAAAGGACAATTGCGCTGCTAGGTCGTAGGTAGAAGCTTCGATGGACGCACAGTCTTCCGCGAGGGACACGAGCGTATGGTGTTCCAATCTGTCCAACAAGCGTCACTGTCGCAAGTTGCGTTTGGTGAAGCCGATTACGTACGACTCGTCCAATGGAAATCTGCGCGATCGAAGCTCCGCATTGCATCGCTCCTAAGCATGCGCTTTGTGAACTTGACTATCAAGGATATCGCTCACATACGATTTCTTGCGCATAATGACGCTCCTTTTCCTCGCAATCGCGCGACCAGTGTTTGAACATACTCGAGTTTTCTGTGATCTCGCGCTCTTCCGCCATGTTTCGCATCGTGTCGTGCATGTGTATGATGTGCGCGAGTTCGCGTCGAGCACGATCGTTGCGCAAGGTGTTCTTCTTCATGTCATCGTGCAGCGCCGCGATGGCCTCGGCAGCAATTTCTTCTCGGGTGCTGAGCTTGTCCATCGCTCTTAGATATCTAAGCACATGTCGGAAGGGACTCTTGCGGTGATTGCATTGCCATCTCAAATGATGTACTCGCTCATGTGTACTTGATCTACTTTGAGAACTCGTCCTGCTTGGGCAAGGATGTGCAGCGACCTTCGTCCCGCCTCCTCCACATGTGACGCTTCAACACAAGTGTTCTCGGGCATACCTGCGACAGATCGTCTTCTTGAACGCCGATCTCTTCCAAGATACATCTTGAGCATGCAACTCGCTCGGGCACGGCACCGCACTCAGTGCCGCCGACCATCGTCAGGATTTCGCCAAAATCAGCAACACCAAACTTTTGGGAGAAAATTTGTGAAATTTTTAACCTTCTATCCTCAGGAACACCACAGCTGCATTTATCAATATTACTCCTTTATTGTATTGTTGTTTTCCTTCAGACTATTCCCATACCAGTAAAAATTTTGGCGTTTCTAGACGAGATTTATAAAAAAATTCAAAATTTCTGTAAGTTGGTCGTGTTGTGGATAAGCCCACATCGGAGAATGTGCCTCTTGGCGCCGAGTGCATGGGGTATCTGGTCAGACGAGTTAGATCTCAAGAGACTCGATGTCATTTTCACCGTGCGTCTGAGCTTTGGAAAGAGATCCAGCAGCGGCAACAAGAAGTAGGCATTGGCCACAGTATTCAAAACAGATGAACGATACCCCATGCACTCAAGTTGTCAGAGCTCTAGTCCCTGCATGGTGTCGCCAAGTTCATGCACGGGTAACGTTAATCGTCAAGTGCAATCGAATGGGCTGGGGAGCTAGTACAAGCCGGGTTCAGTGCCTCACGACGTCGTGGGACTATCTACTGGATGGAAAACCAAAGTCATGGTGATTGTGTCAAACTACAGTAGAGCTTCGCCCAGCGTCACCAGCGCGAGCATCTCTGTCAGGGCACTTTCGCGGCAGGTTCTTTGCAGCTTCGTCATTATTTCACGACTCATTAGACGATAATCCCATCGACCTCATTGCAGCGTCGGTCGGATGTACTTGTACTACTTCAAAAGAAGACTACATTTCGTTGGAATATTACGATGTTTCACTTTTCAACTTTCACCGAATTTGTTCTCTTCTTAAACAATTTTTATAAAAATTTACTAATACTCCGAGTATAAGGTGACTGCAGAGGCGCACTGCTTTACAAGAATTGTGTTGCTTTAGCACAGAGGACTGAAAGAATGTATGCGTTGTGAATGCGTGCGATGGCAGGGCAGAATCAACTTACAGCGGGCACTGAAGGATGGCGTTCCTGAGCGTGCTGACTTCATGGCCTGTGCTCCTGGCAGGAATCTTGTGTGTTGTTCTCGCTGCAGCGGTGTACGCTTTTCTCGCGTTGCTTCGGTGTCTGTACGATTCGATCCCTCCAGTCGAGCCGTCGTCAACTCCCCCCAACGCCGACGCATGTGCGCTCTTCCGGCACCTTCCATTCCTTGCCGGCCGGCTTGCATGGAAGCCGTTGGGCGTATTCCCGACTCCAGTCCACAAAGCGAGTCTTCTAACCCTTGACCCGACGATGTCGTTTTACATCAAAAGGGAAGATTTGTCGAGTCCCAAGTACGGAGGCAACAAGGTGCGCACACTCGAGCATATCCTTGCTTCATGCGTCGAACACAAGCTGTCCTATCCGAGTTCATCGCTCTTTAGCATCGGGTCTGCCGGGTCCAACATGAACGTGGCGTCGGTTGTGCATGGCCAGTCACTTGGCCTGCCAGTCCGCCCGTGCTCCATCAGCTGCGACGCCCCAGATTTCGACAACACTCTCAACTTGCTCTCAATTCTATCCTTCGACCCCAAGCACATGCATGTGTGGACACAACGATGGGCGTTTGCAAAAGCCATGTTCCACTCCTTCATCCGGCCATCTCAAGAGCTCCACGGCAGTAAGATCATGCCTCCTGGCGGGAACAACCTCCTGGGGGTCCTCGGGCAAATGGGTGGCCTGCTGGAGCTGGCCGAGCAAATTCAGGCTGGCGACGTTCCGAACGTAGACATTCTCTACGTCCCTGTGGGCTCGTCCTGTACGCTCACCGGTCTTGTGCTGGGGTTGTGCCTTGCCCGTCATTTGAACCTGGCTGCGTTTCAAACCAGCTTGTTTCATATCGTTGCCGTGCCCGTGCATCCAGGCATTGCGAAATTGCAACGATTTTTCGGTTTGTACAAGTCATCTCCACACGTTCCTCTGTTTCCGCGCTTTGGCTTTCGACGAGTCGCTGCGTATTTGATGCAACAAGGCCTCGACGTAAACTTGGAGCCCCTCGCCATCGACTTCCTCAAGCATCACGTGCATTTCGTCACAGACCCTGACATCATTGGCGAGTATGGAACACACAGCGTAGCGAGTTTGGCCGCAGCTACCCACATGGACGTGGGATGCCAAGTCGAAGGAAGTTGCCCTTTGTGGAGCAAACCGGGGTCGGTCGCGAACGATTTCAAGCCATGGCTTTGCGGGCACTTTGCCTCCAAACCGTTCGCAAAACTCATGCATGACCTGCATCTCGAGCGAGCTGAGATCAACGGCTCTTGTGCGCCAATCAAACCAAAAGTGCGCTTGCTCTGGCTCACAAAGAGCTACACCCAACCGCGTGGAGATGCTGACGAATGGACCAAGTTCTCGACGCTAGCAAAAGACAAGCCCATTAGGGAATGGGCCGAGAAAGGGCGCGCGTACTCTCTCTTGCGCCCAGGGCATATCAACCTCGCGCATGGAAGCTCCAAGGATTACCGGCATGTGATGACTTTCGTCGGAGGTGCCGGCGTCAAGCCCCAAAGCCCAATTAAATTGCCTGAAAAATTCCCGGATATGCATCAGGGCGTATCCGGCTAACAATTCATCATTCGGATGGACTCACCCGGAAAATCGGACATGGCGTGGGTAGTCTTGGTGTCGGGGGCGTCCCGCGGGTACGGACGTGCACTTGCGCTAGCATTTGCGACAAAGAAAGCTTCCGCTGAAGATGGAGATCTGCATTTGGTACGATGACTTTGCCTTTATGGAGTTGGCTTGTCCTTCGCGACAACTGTTCTCACAAGAACCCTGCAGCACTTGTGGTCTCGCGACGCATCTGGCATGACCGCGACTGCTGCTGCCGTGACCTCAGCTTGGCAAAGCAACGTATGCCGCAGTCCATGAGTGCCTACCATGATCTTCACCACAAACGTTCATGGTTGTTAGAACAACCATCGTGTCCACGTGACACAGACAGTGGTGGACTTGAGCAACGATGCTTCGTACCAACCTGCCGTCGACTCATTCCTCCTCGCTGTGCAAGCAACTTCGTCCCTCGACCGCCTCGTCGTGGTCCACAATGCTGGTTCCTTAGGACAAGTCGGTCGCATTGCCGAAGTCGAGTCCCCGCAAGTCATCCAATGCCACATGGAACTCAACGTCAACTCGGTCCTGTGGATCAACAAGCGGTACGTCCGCGCTCAAACCCAGGTCATTCACGACACGCTTCCAGGCTCCTGCAAGTGTACGGCACCAAGGCTGCTGGTACTCTTCACGCCTGCTCTCCTTCTTGACGCTCACCTTGCGCTAGCGCCATCTCCAGTCCCGCTGTACTTGGTCAATGTGAGCTCTTTGAACGCCATTGAGCCGTTCGCCACATGCGGCTTGTACTGCGTTTTCAAAGGTGGGGAAACATGGTCCTTGAGAGTTTGCCTCGTGCAAAAGACCTCTTCCGCTCGTTCCAACAACGTTTCGCGAATCGTCCGTGCGCTGACGGATCGCCATGTAGCGGCACGTGATATGCATTTCCGCGTACTTGCCAAGGAGGAAGATGCGAGTCGTGTCAAGTGCCTCAACTATGCGCCAGGTCCGATGCAGACGAACATGGGAAACGAGGTCCTTCGCATAATATCAACGCTCGCTTTTTCGTGACGGATTTCTCACGTAGCTGCGGGACGGCCCGGCCACGGACCCCGCCCTCCAGCGCATGTTCAAGAAGTTGCTAGCCGATGTACGTAAAAACTACTGCAATGTGACCTTACACCTGCTCAGGGCACATACGTCAGCTTGGACGTGTCGGCCCGACTGTGCGTCGAGCATCTTTTTGGTCCGTCGCTCGTGTCAGGCTCCCACATCGACTACTACGACATTCACCAAGACTAAGAGAGTATTAAGTTGCAAGCCAGTGGCACCGCTGAATTTGAACAGCTATGCGCGACACAATCCAAGATAACGGATCAAACTTGTTCTGGGGCATTGAACCAGCGTGCGTTGGCAGCCTGGCGGCAGCTCACCAACACAACATTCAACTGGAAATAGCCAACGCTCCTCAGCAGTGTCCGCACTTCCTCACGCAACACCGCGGATAGTACTGACACCAGCAGCAATGCAAACGTTTCCGAGAATGACGAGGTGGCGAGCGATGGCGAGCAATATCCGAGTGACCTCCAAAGGCAGCGCACCGTTTCCAGTCCATTTCCCTCGAAGTCCTTCCGCTGCATGCGATTCTTCGTAGAATGCAGCATCACGCCTTCTGCAACAGACTCTGAGGTCCATCCAGCATCCTGGTCGCCTTCCTGCGCGGCTACATCGGTGTATAACACTGGCCCACACATGAGCCATCCGTACGCATCCGCATATCGATGGGATATCTGAAACGACCACAAAGGCGTTTCAGTGCGCGACGGCGACCACAACTCGCCCGAGCGTCGTCGGGTGGCCGTAGGGACCTCGCTTGGACGCCATGGCAGATATCTCGTCGCTCGTGTTTGTCTTTGTCGTGTTTGCGGTCTTCACAGGCGTGATCTACCTTTTTGCACACTACACGAGCCGGTTCAACGCAGCCTCTGGTCTGCGCGATCCGTTGCTGCGCGGCAAGTACGGCAGACCCGACTTGGCCACCGCATAGCATCACCGTAGCTGTTTTAGCGCGTTCATGCCTGGCATCAAGCGCGAAGACGTCGAAAAGCTGTACGTCGACGGTGGCCGCTTTCTCGAGTACATCATCATCGATTCGTCCAGATTGCTGGAAGCGCCGCGATGGGAATGCTCGGTCTGTGAGTTCTACAACTTCACGACAAAGCTGCACTGTTGCCTCTGCGGCACGTTGAAAGGTATCGTTGGCAGTCCGTTTGACCATGAGCTGAGTGCATTTCACGAGGTCTTCGTCTGCTGGACGTGCAGTCAACTAATGGCACCGACGACAGCACACCGATCGTGTCGCACAGTCGGAGCACAAGTATGTCCCAGCTTCAGCGAACAGGCTCAACACTGCGTCGATTCACGTCACAAATCGTCGCGGCCGTGTTTGACCACGTTGTTCTCCCTGAGGACTTGACCGCCGTGCAGCGAAGCGCACGGTACGCCTCAACAGACACCGCCATCGCTAGAAACGTGTTCGTGATCTCGGCCAACTTGTAGCATGCGAAGGCAGTGGTCTCGATCGACCACTCATGCAACAGGCCATTGGGTGCGGAACTTTGTAAACAGTCCCTTCGCGTCGGAAGCATTTGTCGTTCAGCTCGTACGTGTTTGAAATTCCTTGCTGAGTTAGCCAGCACGTTTCGTACGGTCGTGTTGAATCAACGACGAATGTGGTCATGGGCAACGTTCTTCTTTGAATGGATGCTGTGAGCCCATATCGTATCGAATTTGCGACCATGATTTCTTTTGTAGAACCCACCGTCGTCATCCGTCAAACTCACGTCGTTGGCGGAATCCCCCCGCGCCGTGTCCCCGCTGGGCAGCCCATTCATGACTGCAAGTGCTCCTGCAAGCGGGTTCTGTGGCCCTGCCATCGCGTGGGTTCCAGTGCAAGACGCCAACCTACACATGGTGACCACGACAGGGTCGACACTGGACCCGAGTGTGTGGGCCACACTGACTCACCTCGCCAAGCTGCCGTTTTCACTCAAGTACGGTTGGTTTCTCGACCAAGCGTCGGCGCTCGTGACTCCCTACGATACCCTCCACGTCCACTTCAAGGTCAACCGGCCTCGGCTCGTCGTCGAAGCGCTGGAAAACCTGAGTGCCTCCAAGTCAATGCACTGTGCGCCACGACGCGGTTTGAATTTGTGGGCGAGCACGCGCGGGACGCGGGCGCGGTCCAGCGGGAATGGTACCTCCTAGTGGCCCACGGGCTGCTCAGCCCTGCCGCGGGCTTGTTTGTCCTGTCGAACCGTGACGATCAATCCTACGGAATTAACGCGGACTCGGCCGCTGCGTAAGTGGACCCCCCCCCCGCTGTCCCACCTCACGTTGCGGGTCTTCTTTGGAGATAGATGTACCGACGTGGATCATCTCACGGCATTCCACGCGGTGGGGCGATTCGTCGGCCGAGCTCTCTTGGAAGGGCAGATGCTGCCGCTGCACTTGAGCCCAGTTTTGTTTAAGGGTGCGCTCGCAGCGTTCTGCCAACACCGCCACCCTGACGTTGTTGCGCAGCCATGCTAGGCGTCCCCATGTCCCTCGATGACATCGAGCAGTTGGACCCAGTAGTGTACAAGAGGTCTGTTTGCCGACCCCCGTGCTGTCTCACTCTCCTTGCCACTGATTTGGAATCGACGCTGTAGTTTAATGTTTGTCCTGACGCATGACACTGTCGACGACCTGGCGCTAACGTTCTCTGCCACCGAGTGCGTTGGCTACGGCCGTGTGTTGGAAGTGGACTTGGTCGACGAGGGCCGACGCATCCCAGTCACGGAAGACAACAAGGCACTGTACGTCCAGCGGATGGTACGGAAGGGGTTTGCAGTAGTGGCAGCAGACACCACTCGCATTCGAACGACTGACGTCGATGGGGTGCCCAGGTGCGCTACCTGTTGTTCGATCGCGTCGAGGGGCAGCTGGGCGCGATGCTGAAAGGACTCCACCAAGTCGTGCCTCCTGAAATGTTGGCCGTGTTTGACTACAAAGAGGTGGCGTCGACGGCCGCCTCCGTTTCATGGATGCATCGCGATCTTTTCGTCTAGTTTGAGCTCATTCTGTGCGGCCTCTCCGACATTGACGTGAACGACTGGAAAGCCAGCACCGTGTCGTCGAGCAACTTGAAAGCCCACGCCGTGCTCGTCGTACGTGCGCCGCTACGAACGATGAGCGTCACTTGTCGCGTCGGTGTCATGCATTAGTGGTTCTGGGAAATCGTCGAGAGTCTGTCGACTTCAGATCAATCCAAGCTCCTCCAGTATGCCACGGGGTCGTCCCGGGTCCCCGTCCAAGGCTTCAAAGGTGCGCACGGTGTCCTTCGCACGCCGTCACGTTGGGCAGCTCCCACCTCGTCGCGCTAGGGCTCACGAGCTACGACGGCAAGATCTGCTACTTTACACTGAAAGGAATCGAGTACACGCCAGGGCGGTACCCCGTCGTCCATGCATGCTACAATCGCATCGACCTGCCGCTGTATCCAACAAAAGCCCTGCTCCAAGAAGCCTTGACGATGGTACTGCTGTCGGACCCGACGGGATTCACCATCGAATAAACCCACGACATGCACGTGGTTGGACTGGTCTTGTGCAGTGTTTTGTGCCTCCGGTCGGGCCATCGTCTTGGCGCCACGCGGACGGCAACGGCGCCATGTCAGCGTGTCGAGCGGTCGCAGTCTGCCGCACCAGCTGGCCGTGCCGCGCCGACGTCTGGCAATCCACATGTGTTCGCAGCCGGGTGTTCATGGACACTTGGATCGTCCCAGAGGATCCGGTGCAGTTGAGAAGCAGAGACGAGTGTGGACAAGCTCGACGGCAGTCGTCACGGCAGTGTCATTGAGTGCCAAACGCCCGGTGGACGAGCGCGCACGATCGCGATCGTCGAGGCGTATTTGGTGTACAACGAGTGCTCCACCGACCGAAGCCATCCACTAGCTCCTTGTTCACGGACACCACCGAGTGTGCAAAGATTGAAGTTGAGTGACACGTGCTGCAGGCCCATGTCGCGCGTCCTTCTGATCCCTGCACGGTGGTAGAGTGCGTCCGTCCCGCCGCGGTCGACGGCCGCCGAGATGTCCCCGATTCTGTGTGCCAAGGATCGTTTTGCCGACGCACACACCCCCACACACACACGCAGCAAGCGACGGGGTTGGGCTCTCCAGCACCAGGATCGAAGCGCCCATCGACGACAACCGGGCCAGTGGACAAGACTGACCATCTGTGTCACTGGCCCGCTTGTCACCGATTATGCAAGTGGGATCGGTGTACTGGAATGTCTTTGTGTGTTTTCGTGGATGCCCATGTACTGTTGCCCGCATGATGGCGGCGTCCTGTCGCTGCACGAGTCCGCCGTCGAGTCCGCGGTGGCAACGTGGGTTGTGTGTGGGCATGTGACTCTCCCATCCCCACGTCTGCCAGTCGCGCGCCGAGGTCTGGTCACCGCCAGGGAGTCTGTCTCTCGGATCGGGGCTTCCAAGGCCTTTCTTGCCGCACACGAGTGTACTGGAGCCAGCGGACGATGTTCAACTAGGTGGCGTCCGCTTCCAGGTCCCGCCCACTTGGCACCCATCGATCTGATCTGGGTCGGGTAGCCGATCCGAGCTCCGGGGCGCAGCACGCCAAGGACCATCGGTGGCGGGCGCCACCCGCCGCAGTGACTGCGGTCGTGCTGGTCGATGGCCCTCCTCGTGGGGTATCGCGTGGGAGCGACGGAAGCGCGCGAGCCAGCCGCATCCTGCCACGGAAAAGCGTCGTTGCATACACGTCGCGCTCCGGGGTGCGCTGGGAACTGGGCCACGTTTTCTCGCCCGAAACAGGATGGCGGTGGCCCAACTTGACTTTGGCGCTGACAGGAGGCAGCCACTCTGGAATCCGTCGCACGGCGAAGATCAGCTGGCGACCTACGACCGACGACTTGGCGCGATGGACTATTCGTTTTGTGTGGCGCCATCGACGCCGGACGAGATCTTGTTTGCCGACAAAGTGGCGCGAACGCACTGCATGTGCTGCACCCGTCGCTTCCACATCTTACGCAAGAAAGCGCTGTGCTTCAAATGCAACGAGGTGAGCAAGTCATGTCGTTGCCCCACCAGCGAAGTGCACTCACCATACGCTAGTCGGTGTGCCTCGACTGCATCGCGGTGTGGCAGCCCAAGGACCAACTGCGCACAGAAGTTTTGTGCAAGCGATGCATACACAAACACACCGCCGCGACACAAGCGCCGCCACGATCCAAATCCACGACGACACCACCAACTTTACCCGACACAGCCCTGCGGTGGAGCAACGGGTCGTCCGCGTCGTCCGGCTATGTGGACGACCACGATATCGTCCGTCGTCACGCCAGCAGCGAAGAAGATGCCGCAAAAGTCGCGCCGCTGTCTGTAGAAGAAGGAAGCACCAACGTAGGAGGACGCTGCGGGCTCATTCTGTCGCCGCGACAGCTCCGTGCCGTGGAATCGAAGCGAACCGAAGACACGCGGCCGTGCTCCGTCAAACTGCCGAGGTCGCATCGAGTGCACACCGCTTGACATGTTGAACACGCTTATTTTATCGTCACCTCTTTTTTCTGGTCGAGACGACAAACTGAATGGTGTGCCCGTATGCACTGCCCCATGTCGGCGCCAGTGACTTGTTCCCTCACGAGCGAGTACTCCGCTGGTGTGCAAATATGGTGATGTCGGTATGGAGCTCGCTTGGACGGGAGGTCTGCTAGGGAATGGCAGCGATGGCCCATCGGATTGCTCGGTGTGCTTCGATTCGACGGGCCCAGGAGGTCCTGCCGAATGAAGTCGGAGCCTCGCCAAGTTAGATGGGTGTTGGGTGGGTGCGCTGCGCGCGGTTGTCTCGATCGGGGCGCGTCCCAGATGAAGCTGGGTTGGCTGCGGCGGCATCACGTCGCGGCCAGCAAGTGGAATCTGCATTGCATGCACCTTTCTCGTTCCACCGACCACAAGAACAAACCCCACGACGGGCCGTTTGCGCTCGTCGTCTGTCGTTGCGCGCAGGAGGGCCTAGACACTTCATGGAGAAGGCAACCCATGCGGCAGCTGGCTCGAACGCCTGCTTCTCGGTTCGGGCAAGCGAGGCACGTCGCCCATGTCAAGGGCAAGTTTCGTTGGCTCATGCCACGAGCGTGCAGTCGGCTAGACCGCGCTGGTGCGGTGCGAGGTTTCAGCAGCGACGCGGTGTATTGGCTGTAACGGATACAGCTCACCCATGATAACCTCACTTGCCTCCGTGTGCCCAACAGTGCCGAGGGGAAACGTCGTGCGGCGCCTTCGCTGTTGCATGTCACCACATGACAGCCCTGTCGGGGCGGTCAGGAGTTCAGACTGGACGAGATTACGTTGTGGCTGCACATCCGATGGGGACGCAGCACGTTCGCCTTTGGTCCCTTGAGCCCCCCTGGAAATAGGAACTCCAGTTGGATCGCATTTTGGAATTGCCCACCATGGACAGCTTTCCACTCTTGTCGTCTGAGGAGTATCTGCTGCGCGTGGGGGCCATCTCGTCGGTGACATTTTACACGTCAAGTAGGGCCGAACCGACGTCCCATGCCAAAGTACAAGCCGATCTTCAAGCACGGCTCACGGAAATTGCAGCGAGCAACCCGTGGCTGCAAGGGCACTTGAAGAATGCGGAGGGTGGTGGCGTTGTGCTTGAAGTGCCGTCGCACGGCCAGCCCTTGCATGTGGAAGGATTCGACCTCCCCCACTTGTCCCTTGGCAATCCTTACCACGAACTGACGACGTCGCTGGACCCGCTGGCTGTTCGATGTGGCGCCGATCTCATAGCGAACCCAGACCAGCCTCTCCTCCGTGTGGCGTGGATCTCCATCTCCCCCACACAGGGGGCGTTTTACTTGTCCCTTAGCCACGTCGTTGGTGACGGCTACACGTACTACCGGCTCTTGCGCATGTTTAGCTCGTCGGTTGCTCCATCTGCCCTGACGCCACAGCGACGCCACGACCTGCCCATGTTCGCAAAGGGCTACAATGACACGATGGACTTGCACCGTTCGGCGTCCATGATGTGGCACTTGGCGTCCACGGCATTGTTGTCGTCGGCTCCGACAATGGCTGTCCACTCGATCGACAACGAATGGATCGCTGCTCAAAAGAAGGCCGCGCTGCCTTTGAAGGTATCGACCAACGATGTGATCACGTCGTGGTACTTTAAGCTGTGTCGTGCTGACGTGGGCTTCATGGTCGCCAACACCCGAGACCGGTACCCCAACGTGGACCAGAACATGGCTGGCAACTACAACACCGTCGTGGGGTACCAACCAGAGGACTATGCAACGCCATCGCTCATTCGGAAGTCCCTGCAACAGGTGCCATATCGACGCGCTGTGTCAGGCGAGTTCCCTCGCATGTTCCGCAAGACCACAGCCATGATAACGTCCTGGGCTTCCCTCCGTGACTCTTCGCCACCGTCAATACCCGAATGGTCGTGTTTGGCCCAGTACCCCGTCGCAGCCGCCTCGTACAACCCGCCGTACACTAACTTGGCCGTCGTCTTTCGCAAGACTCCAACTGAACTGGGAATTATCTTGCGCACGCGAGGCGCCGTTGGCGATCCAACCGAGCTAGCCAAAGCAACTCGACCCCAAACTTGCTCGGTCGCACCTCCATCTATCCCTTTAATGTAGTTTGCACAGCCTCTCTCCACTGTGTTACTGTTGCGAATCGGACAAGGGGCAAACAGTGCTCACAATTCTTTTCCCATGCAACCTCCAGTAGTCCCATGTTTTGAAGCAGTACGACTGCTGAATCCACATTCAGATCACGAATGCTCCTCCCGCACTTGCGGGTGAACTCCGCCTCGATGGAAGACCTGCAGAAGCTGCAGAATTATGAGCACCGCGGTAGTGCATTGGCGCTGTGCGCTCAATGTTCCATTCAGTGGTTCGCTCCACATACTTCCAACCGTCACGATGTTTTTGCTCTGTCAGTTCCCACCGAACGCCGTCCGCGCCGATTCCTCATCGCCCACAACCTACCGACGCACGACAACGCCTGCAATGACATGGTCCTGCTGCATACTTTCGTCACAAAACTGTAGCATTTGGTCGCGAATACCGCGGTCGTGCCTTCAGCGCCAACGATTTCAGCCCACACGTTTAGCAACGACTGTGAAATCGCACTTGGACATCCGCTCTCCCTCTCCAAGTCTTGTCCAACGACGTTATGACAGCGTGGTGTTTTCGGTTGTGCCGAGCAAATGTTGGGTTGACAGCAGCGCAATGTTGAAAATGATACACCGAGGGTCCCTTCAGACCTGGCTGGCAATAATTGCAGCGCCATCGTGGGCAGCCCACTAAATGACACCATTATCGCGAGCTCTCATTCGGAAGTCACGCCAGACGCTACCATTTCGCCGCGAATTGGCGGTGGCCTTGCCCTGGATGGTCAAAAAGGCCACGGACATGTTGACGTCGTGGGCATCGATACGTGTTCTCGGCAGAGGGCTTCTTCTGTGTTCACCAGTCACACATAATAACCTGACAAGCTCATCCATTCAGCCGCAGAAGAGCATAGCCATCGTTTTCCGTAGGTCGCCGAAGGAGTTAGGAATCATCTTGCGCACGCGAGTGGCCTTTGGTTCCGACAAATTTGCCAACGCTACTCAATGGCTGACACGATCGAATTGGCCGGTCCACTGTTCACTTTGCGCACACACGCACTTGTGTACTTGGAATATCAACGTACGATCTCACCTATCGCTTCTATCCATGGGGTAATTGGGACTTTACACATTGCTTGTTGAGCCATTCTTGATCTGGCTGTCGCAGGATTTGGCAAACACGCACCTCTCCGTCCTGCTGTCGTCGATATCGAGACATCTTCACAGGAGAACGACGGGGTGAAGGCTTCCATCAGATTACAACTCGTCAGTCAATTTGTAGGCTCATTGCAGATACGAGGGTGCCGCTTCGGACGAGTTCACTGCACTTGAGGAGCTCCTGATCAGCTTGTAGCCATCTCAACTTGAACGGACAACGTACGGATAAAATTGAGTTATTTATCCGAACTAGTACCTCATAATATGATAATCTTTGGAATTCAATATAGTTCAATTCATTTGTACGGGTCCTGTCGCTCCCACCATTTGAGCAAGAATCACGCGGCAACAACGGCAAAACCACACCCGCGACGAGGAAGGTCATGGCGAGCGAGCAAGCAGCAGCAGCGCCACTGATGAAGCCCAAGAGCGCGTTCGCTCACTTCCAGAAGCAAGTAACAAGCGCTGTGCGGGAGGAGCTCAAGCAGCGTGGGAACGCGGACATTGCGGACACGAAGGACAACGACCCTGCGAATTTGGGTGCAGTGCAGCGTGAAGTGAGTGCGCGGTGGAACGAGCTCACGCCAGAGCAACGTGAACCGTTCCTTGATGCTGCAAAAGCGGATCGGGAACGATACGACGAGGAATGCTTGCTTCGAGACCGTCAAGTCGAGGAAGAGCGCGAAAAACGCCGCCAAGACAGAAATGCGTTGGACGTAGAAGGCAAACGCGAACGAAAAGTTGCCACGGATGTTAAAGAAAAGCGCGAGAAGAAGCCTGCGAAACCTCTCACGGACGAGCAAGTTGCAGCAAAGAGAAAACGCGATGAAGTCAGGTGCGTGCCATCGAGACATTGACCTGCCACTCTTATTACGTTTGCATCATTTTATCGCGCAGTCAATTGGCAAAAGGCGCCAAGGACGAGTTGAAAGCCGAGGAAGAGCGTCAAAAAGAAGAGTTGAAGGCGAAAAAAGCCGAGTCAGCGTCGGCGCGCCTAAACTATTTGTTGAGCCAAAGCGATGTGTTCCGGCACTTTGGGGTCAAAGCCCCGACCAACAAGGCCGAAAAAGGAGCGTCCAGGAAGAAGAGCGAACGAGAAGAAGACGACGAACTCCTCCACGACAAGCACGATACGGTTCGGTTGACAGTCCAGCCGAGCGTGATCAAGTTTGGGACGATGCGGCAGTACCAACTGGAAGGATTGAGTTGGATGGTGAACCTGGCGAACCAGGGGATTAACGGCATCTTGGCCGACGAAATGGGTCTCGGGAAAACGCTCCAAACGATTTCGGTGCTGGGGTACTTTCAAGAAGTAGGTGTGCTTTGACTGGAATCGCCTCTGACCTCACGCGTGTCCGATGCCTCTCTAGTTTCACAACATTTCGGGTCCGCACCTCGTGCTCGTGCCCAAATCGACTCTGAGCAACTGGCTCAATGAATTCCACCGATGGTGCCCGTCCCTGCGTGCGATCAAGTTCCATGGCGATAAGGAAGAGCGTGACCGCGTCGTCGACGAAGTCTTGTGCCCAGGGCTTGCCCAGGACAAGCGAAAGTTTGACGTGTGTGTCACGACCTTTGAAATGTGTCTCAAAGCCAAAACGACTCTCGCCAAGTTTGCGTGGCGGTACGGCCATTCGTTTGTCCACGTCTTGTGTGCTGCTGCGTGTTCTGGTTGTTTGCTTGGGGTGTTTACATGAACGGCTTGTAATTGGGCTGCGGTGGCGCTGCCCCGTCATTTTCGCAAAGTGTCGGGCGCTCGTGGATTTTGCCTTTTTTCTGAGCATGGAGCCTGTGGCAAGCGCTGTATTTGATGAGAGCGGTGCTGACATATTGTGGGGTCGTGACAGATACCTCATCATTGACGAAGCCCATCGCATCAAGAACGAGAGCTCGCAGTTTTCGATGATTGTGCGCACAATGGCGACGGAGCACCGCCTATTGTTAACCGGGACACCGCTTCAAAACAATTTGCACGAGCTGTGGGCGCTACTCAACTTTTTATTGCCGGACGTGTTCAGTTCGTCCGAGCAGTTTGACGAGTGGTAAGTCGGCGGGTCGCGTTGGCCGGCAATGTGACTTCGTCGTGGCAGGTTCAACTTGGACACGGAGGACGAAGAGGCCAAGAAACAAATGATCACGCAGCTGCATCGCATCTTGCGGCCGTTTATGTTGCGACGGTTGAAAGCTGACGTGGAAAAGTCGCTGCCGCCCAAGAAAGAAACGTTGCTCTTTGTCGGGATGACCCCCATGCAAAAAGCGCTGTACAAAACGTTGTTGCTCCGTGATATGAACACTTTGACGGGGGGATCGTCTGCGTCGAAGAGCGCGTTGCAAAACATTGTCATGTACGAAGATCGTCCCCACGCGCTGCATGAGCTCTAAACTCCATCCCGCGCGCAGGCAACTGCGCAAGTGCTGCGGTCACCCGTACTTGTTTGAAGGTCAAGAAGATCGGTCGTTGCCTCCGCTGGGCGAACACGTGGTTGAAAATTGCGGCAAGATGATCCTCATGGACAAATTACTCAAGCGGTTGAAAGCGCGTGGGTCCCGCGTCCTCATTTTCAGCCAAATGACTCGTGTGCTGGACATCATGGAGGATTTCTGCCGCATGCGGGCCTATGGGTAAATGTCTTTTCCAACAGAAGCACATGATTTTTGTTGTTGGGGGGACGTAGGTACTGCCGCATTGACGGCAACACGTCTTACGACGACCGTGAATCGTCGATCGACGAGTACAACGCGCCCAACTCGTCCAAGTTTATCTTTTTGCTCAGCACTCGTGCCGGGGGACTCGGGATCAACTTGTACACGGCGGACATTGTGATTCTGTACGATTCCGACTGGAACCCGCAGGCCGACTTGCAAGCCCAAGTACGTTGGTTCGCGTCGTGCGGTGGATCGGTGTGATGCGGTGGTAGGATCGCGCGCATCGCATCGGTCAAAAGAAGGAAGTGAATGTGTATCGATTTGTCACGGCCAACTCGGTCGAAGAGAAAATCATCGAACGCGCGCAACAAAAACTCAAGTTGGACGCCATGGTTGTTCAGCAAGGGCGCCTTCAGGAGAAGCAAAAGAACTTGAGCAAGAACGACATGCTCGACATGATTCGATTTGGGGCGGACGAAGTGGTACTGCTTTCGTCCCGGCATGGACCCCCGAGAAGGTTGATTCCTTTGTTCAATCGTGTAGTTTCGCGCCAACGACGACGAGATGATCACAGACGAAGACATTGAAGCGATTCTCGCCAAGGGGGAAGCACGCACAGAAGAAATGAACTCGAAATTGCAAGCGCACGACAAGGGCGACCTGCTCAATTTCAAATTGGACGGCGGGGGGTGCCAAGTGATTGACGGCGTTGATTATTCCAAGGAAAAGGAGCGGCTCGAAGAGATTAAGCGGCTCGCAGACTTGGAGTTTGCGCGCACGTTGGCTGATGGCATGGGCAAGCGAGAACGCCGCACGGTGGTCAAGGCGGACGAGCCAGGATTCAAGATGAAGTCCAAGATGAAGCAACTCCCCAAGTCAATGCGGTACGAAGAACTATCGTGGTGGAGTGTGGCTCGGTGACGTGGACATGGATAGCCTCCCTCGCATGGACGAGTGGCAGTTTTACAACCGCAGTCGCATGACAGAGATCCACGAAATGGAAGTGTCGGCATATGAGCTGGCCAAAGCCAACGGTGAAGCTATCGACAAATCGGACCACTCGTACCTGAGTCCCGCGCTGCAAGCAGAGAAGGAAGAACTGCTCAAAGCTGCCTTCAGCGACTGGAACAAACCGCACTTTTACTTGTTCATCAAGCTCATGGCTCGGTAACATTGTTTGTACGTGGATGGTGGCCGTCGCTAACCCACGACGCAGGTATGGTCGAACGAATCTGACGGCCATCGCGCGCGAGATGGTCAAGCCATACGACGAAGTCGTTCGGTACGCCGACACGTTTTTCAAGCGCGGGGCCGAACTGGGCGACTGGGACAAGATCCGCAAGTCGATCGAAAAGGGCGAATCCAAATTACTCGAAATTGAACGCTTGGCGGAACAAACTGCGATCAAAATCAAACGATACCAAAACCCATACGACGACTTGGTCATCAACTACCAAGGCAAAGGTAAAACGAACTGCTCGACTCGATGGATCAAATACATGCTTTGTGTCGACCAGGGGGCAAACTGTTTACCGAGGAAGAAGACCGACTGCTCCTGTGTTTGGTGCACGCGTATGGGTATGGGTCGTGGGAAAAGATCAAGCGCGAAATCCATGCCGCACCCGTTTGTGCGTTCGATTACTACTTGCGGTCGCGGTCCGCCGCCGAGTTAGGTCGGCGGTACGTTTTGTAACATGTTTGTACATGCGCTCTAAATCGACTGTCGTGGACCAGATGCGACGCGTTGATGCGGATCTGCGAGAAGGACAATGTCGATTACGAGTTGAAAGAAAAGAAGGACCGCGCGTTGCAGCAAGAGCTCGCTGAGCAACGCGAAGTCCTTGCCAAGCGCATCGCCGAAGCGAAAGCTGAGCTGAACCGAGTACAATTAGTTGCATGTAGAGATGCGTCGTTGATGGGTGCTGGCTAGAACCAAGCCCTTGTGGATGAGAAGATCATGAAGGAAGCCAAGAAAATGCAAGCCGCTCGCGAAGCCAAGCGGTTGAAGAGGGATAAGAAGGAGGATGCCGAGAGCGACCACTACCCCGCAACGTCAAAAGCCGACGACGTGCTCACCGAAGCCGACCAAGAAGAGCTGCGTCAGATGATAGCGCAATCGACCGACAAGGAGGCATCCACGATTGCCCTGAAATTTTGTGCCAAACACGTCAAGTGCCAACTGAGCCAAGTGCTGGCCATTATTCATCAATATGCCGCCCCCGTACGTCGTGGTGCTTCCATGCTTTTTGATGACGCCACGAGTTTAGATTGCGTACAGCAGACCAGGACAACCTGCGTGGCGTCTGCACCCAGAGTACGCTGTGCCCTTGTCGACGTCTCGGTGCGGCCCTGTCGCAGTGGTCCCATTTAACATGCCATTCCCCTTGTAGAAGCCGGAAGCGCCCGTTGTCGGACGAAGGCGGTCCAGATGATGAGTCCAAGGACGGGAAGCGATTGCCCAAATCGCCATGGTCTCCTTCCGCGATGAAGCAAGCGTCAGCGAAGAAGACGAAGAAGCCACGTCAGTCAGCAGCACGAACGTGTATCCTTTGTTTGACGAGTGTGCGTGTGGTTTGTAGAAGTGGAGGTGCCAGCCAAGAAGCCGCCCAGAAAGCCCCGAAGTGCATACGTCCTGTTCAGCTTGGCCAAGCGGAACGAAGTGCGGTCGTCGATGCCAGAAAACACGGGCATTGTCGACCTCATGTCCCGGCTGACCGAGCTGTGGCTTGAAATGTCCGACACGGACAAGGCCCCGTGGTACGAAGCCCAAGAACACGACAAACAACGGTACGACGTACAACGTGATACACTGGTGTCGACTCAATCGATGGCGCAGATACGAACAAGAAGTGGAAGAGGCTGGGTAAGAAGGCCCACGTGCTACACACTCGACATGATGGCGGCAGCTTCGATCGCATCGACCGTACGCGTAACGCGCTGGCGGTGGCGTCGTGAAATACACGCACGGCACTGACGGAGGTTCCATGAAATATACTACAAGCCATGACTTGTTGGGTGCGTTCAGCCGCCTTCTGCATGCGCCGTGTGGAACCAGCAACCCTTTGCAGCGGAGAAGTGCGTGGAGGGGCTGGTCGGCGGCCTCGTCGCCAAACTCTCGTCGAGAAAAATATTTCCACATTTCGCATATTTTTGAAAATATCTCGGACATCAATTTCTCGCCGGCCAGGACCTGCGTGTTTATGTGACCGATGGACGTCCGAGAATGGAACGAAGTGGTGTTTGTAGACCACTGAATGACGGGGGAAATGCGGGGGGATGCAGGGCAGCCAGAAGCGTTGACGTTGATGGTTACGAAAGGGCATACGAACGCATGGCCCTTGGTCGGCCCACTACACGGCGGAAGAGTCGTCGATGCCATATCAGACACTCTCCAGCGCGAGTGAAACTCAGGGGGTGTTGCAAATGTCTCATAATTCTCGAAAACATTGGCAAACAATCAAACACGCAGCTGGCATGCCATCGCCGGTGGAGAGCGTCGCGTTCATCAAGCGCCTGTGTGAGTGCAAGTGCCCGCTCTTCACCAAGAAGTACCTGAGGTAATCACGTACTGTTCACCCATGCGATGTGCAGTCCACTCATCCACGATGCGCCACAGGCCCCACCGTACGAATGGCTCCAAGGTGCGACCTGCACGGGTTGACTCGATGGCAACGTCGTGTTGTAGGTCCTCCGGTGCTTCCCGCACTGCTGTCCACAACACACCGAGTCGCCGTTTTGCGTGTCGTCGCTTGGCGTGCGTGTGGCGGGGTCGGTCGATTTCCTGCAGCACTGCATCGTCCTGTTGCATTTTGAAGCGTCGTA